AAAAAATACAAAACGTTTCTGAGGCTGTGTGTGTATGTTGCTGCTGTGGGGGAGGGTATCTACTAATTTATGGGCAAACATTTTTTTATGTTTAATAACTGATATGTTATTATTTGTATTAAAATAAATATTTGTTTTGCACATAAATACTTGACAGTACTTTTATGCTTTTTAGATCATGCTGGATTTTCCAATAAGAAAGCCAAGCACTAGCTTCATATTGGCTGCCTGCTCCTGCAGACTGGACATCTCCCTTCACTGCCAGGAGGCAAAATGATGATTTCTAAACTGTACACCTTACACTCCAGAAATAGACTACATATTGTTTGAAGTAGGAAGCCACTGTATAAGCTTAGGTAAGCCCTCCCTGTCCTTTATGATTCCAAATACTTAACTACATAAAGCAAAATGCAATCTAGCAGGATCCCTGCTGCCTTTCTTCTTCGTATTCTTGGTCTGCAGACATGTCTCATTAAACAGTACAGTGCAGACACAGACAGACTGAATTAAAAAAAAAAAATTATCTACAGGGGCATAGCCTATGGTGACACCTCTCAAAGAGCAGGTTATTCCAAGCTAACAAAGCTAACTTGTATAAGAATGGTTATTTATTAGGTTCTCATTACAGCACAATTTACTACTGAATGATGAGAAAAAAAACATTTAAACATACTGAGACATCCCTGACAAATGAATGGGAAGAATAAAAATTAAATAAAAAATAAAAAAAATGTTAATACAAATAAGGAAACTGAAAAAAAATTAAAAGAAAATAGTAACCGTGCAACAGATATTGGAAGATACAGCAGCAACTGCAACCTACCTTTCTCCTTCACATTATTATGTTTATTACAAAATGACAGGTGCACTTTTCCTTTACCCATCAGTTACACACAGTTGTAACAGTTACAACCTTGATGTATTGTGCTTCTATGTTGTCACAATTTTATTTTGATTACAATAATGTGGTCAAGTCAAAAGCACAAAATGGCTGCCGGTTTGTGTGTGACAGGTACACTTTAAAGTAAACCTACCTTTTCAAAAAGTAACAGGGGCATACAAGCACGTGTCATCTGTCTTTCAAACTGAACCTCAAAAGTGCTCAATAGTTTACCAAATCTCCTAGGCAAGGTATCAATGTCCTCAAATTTGGTTCAGAGGCATGATCCCACCCCGCATTCCCACATAAGCCTGATGTCTACCAATCTATTGTGAGAAACAGACATTGCAACATGGGATGCATGGGAGCAAGTGTGCCTATGTCCCAACTTAGTTGGCAGTTGCAAAGGAAGCCTAATAATCAATATTTATGCCTGAGACTGCATTCATCGCTTATAGCTTCATCCATTATATATTGACATATACTAAGGAAAGCTACCATGGAACTTTTTGGGTACCAATGCAAATACTGAAAACATATCATATATCCATATATTTATTTATTAATACTTTGTTAAAAATTCATATTAAAATATAAGACTGGCACATGTATCCACATCACATTGCTACAGCATCCATTTTAACACCCCATCATTTAATGCATGAGTCCCTTTTCTTTCATGCTGTATAAATAGGAGGTCAGAGGGATGTCTTGACGCGTTTCATGGTCATAAACCACATGAGGAGACCTAGAGGATAAGAATCTAGACATTATTTGGACACATGGTCACAATCATGTTCATCGCATATGCATTATAATCACCAAATTATCCAGGAAACACATTGCACTTGGATTTCATTAGATTTATAGATAATTTTCTAGTTTCCTGAAGAAGTAGCTTCATATGTCCACTGGACGCATTGAGGAGTTACTCTGACACCATCATTAAGCAACAGGTACTAAACCGGACTCATATGAATTAAATGTTATTGCTATTTGAATGAATGATGGGGCTTTGTGGGGATGCTGTAGCAAAGTGATGCAGATATAATTTATTATGAATTTTTAATAAAGTATTAATAAATATATAGATTTTATGATATATTTTCAGCAATTGTGCCAGCCTTATATTTTATTATATCAATATTATGAATTTTTAATAAAGTATTAAATATATCGATTTTCTGATAAAATTTAAGCAGTTGTGTTGGTACCCCACAAAGTCCCAAGGTAGCTTTTTTCTTTGGAAATTGTAAAAGAAGCTTGGAGGAAGCCCAGAACACTCCTGTGGTGCAGCCTGCAAAATGAAACACATGTGCTGCCATTTTGTGCTGAACATATATAAGCGGTTTAAGCAGCAATGTCAGTTGTTACTGTTGAAAAGCAAGTTGACTATGACAACAGGTAATGTGACACAATCGCTGTTAATGAATGACATCCCTCCACCAAAACCCACAGACATGAGCGGCCTATCGGCCTTGTGAACACCAACGATGAATAGATGAGGATGGAGAAAGATGGGATGAGCTGAGACAGAGACAGGTCCTGGACTTACCCCTCAGCCCCAGCAGCTGCCCCCGATGTAGGACTACCGCTAGTGGAGGTGGAAGGGTGGGGAGCAGATTCAAGGAAAAGGAGGTAGAAAGGGAAAGTTGGGGGAAGGAAAGGGATAAAGCATGAAGAACACAAAAAATAAGAAATTATTGGTAGGACTTTCAGGGTGTAAAAACTCAATTCGGGATTGAGATGCAACATTCCCAGGTATCTATTACTAGACAGTGATATTTATCAGGAATACAACATACAGCAAGATACAGTTTGTTTTCTGAAAAATAAATGCCCATATGACTAACCACAATAGATAAACAGTGTACCACCACCATCATTGTGTTTCAAGCTTGTTAAAAAGGAACCTGTCAGAATGAGAGGAGTAAAAAGGCTGTCGGTGAACCGCATGGCAGAGGTGGCCAGTATGGTTTGCCTAAGGATGGGTTGGAGTCATCAATTTTTACAAATATAGTTTTATTTCAAAAGGTGCATTTCATGGCTATAGCTCTCCACTTCCTCAGTTTACAGTGATACACAAATGTTTGACATTTCTTGGTTTACTGTTCCACACGAGTGTGTCCATGGAAGATTAAACTGAGAAATGTCAAACATTGGTAAATTACCGTAAACTGAGGAAGTGGAGAGTTATAGCCATGAAATGCGACTTTTGGTGAAATAAAGATAAATGATGTTGATGACTCTGACCCATCTTTAGACACACCACACCGGTCACCTCTGCCATACAGTTCACCAATAGGCTTTTTTACCTCCTCTCATCCTATCAGTACAATAGCCAACTGAGAACCCATAGAGGATCCAAGATTGGGACCCTGGTGGCATCAAGAGCAGGACCTTTTCTCCACATGTGTTCAAGAAAAGTTGAGTTGTTCTACCTGCCTGAGTTACCACAACCTCACCAGGTAATTTTTTAATTTCTTTTTTCATTTTTTTCCCCCAAATCGTAAAAATTAATTGAGGAAATAACTAAATTTAGATACATACTACACTATAAGGGTTCTCTCCCTCTTCCCTCTTTTTCTGGTGGATACCTTGGGTCTTTTTTGCCCAGCTACATACTCCTAGCCAGCCAGCTAGAAAATATAATCTTGCCATAATTTTCTGGATCTACCCCACAATCACTTTCTTTCCTTGCTGAATGTGATTGTTAAAGGCTACATAAGCCACCCAAAGCTCAGGATTTAGCAAGGAGCTGCACTTCACGACTGCTATAGCCTCACCCACCTTACAGAGTAACTACAGCAATCCTGCACACAAAAAAACGTATTTCCAACAATTGTTCTCTTATTTATAACCATAGGAGGGAATAGGGACAAAGGCTTGCATACACAAAAATAAACAGCAGCCAGTAAATAAGCCATAGTCACGATCACATATAGTCACATATAAGCTATATGTGGCTTTCAGCTAGTTGGGTGTTGCTGGTGTTCAACCAATTATCATTATCAAAATACAATGCCTCTTGCTTTAAAACTGAACTCCAGGCAAACAGCTAAATACGAAGATGAAATACAGTGCATACATGAGAGACGTTTTACGTGTCAAAGGATTTGCATTTATGTCCACCCAGTCTTGAGATTTACTCAGCTCTGCTCCACAGCACAGCCTTGTCTAGGGGAGGGGACCTGATCTTTCTCTGTTGCAGTTTCATTTTCACTTACAGTTCCCCACCCAACCCCCACCCTGTGAATGGACAGTACACAGCTCTGCCTCATAGTACAGTCCTGTCTGACAGGGCAGGAGACATGATTCTTCTCTGTTGTAGTTCAGTGAACACTTACAGATCATCTCCCTCCCTGGCCTGTGATTGGAGTGTGAAAAGAGAAGCAGCATGGTAATGAGCGTATTTCTCTCTGTCACTATCTTCTAATATTTTACTGCTAATTGCACTACAGTGCATCTGATTGGCTTTTTGTGCTGCTTCTCTCTCCCCCACGCTGAGCTCTGCTGTACAGACTTTGCAGTAAACTGATTATAAGCCAGATTTAGGTACTTACTCTGCTTGCTCAAAAAATAACATGACATTGATTATATAGCTGCATTAATTTGTACCATTTAAAGTATATAAGTCTGCAGTTCAGCTTTAAACTGGCATTATGGGGGTCAGAAGGTCGTAATACCCTCCCCAAAAAAATGACGTGTTTCGTGTCCACATACAGCAATTCTTATTATTTATTCCATGTGTGCCCACCCCAGGAATTTACATCCAGCCCTCTCTGGTCAGTGTCTGATGCCAGCTTTTCTTTGATCCTGTTATCTTTTTAAGTTAAACCATAAATAATTAGACTTTTGCCACTTAATAGGAAATAACCTTCACAACTTACTCTCTGTGAGGGGAATTGAGATGACCACTCCATTTCCTGTTCCCACCCAAAGACGATTGCCGGCAATAAGCAGAGCTGTGATTCGCACAAAGGAGAACCCTAATTTTCCAGTTCCTGGTAGTGAAAGAGAAAAGAATGACTTGGAGGATTTCAAACAGCAACAATGGATACAACTTTCTTTTTTTCTTGTATGTTATAATAATGTGTTACAGAGTTCCTCAATCTTTTTTCAGTCACAGCACCCTTTAAAAGTATTTTCAGTCTCCATGCACCCAGTCTAAAATAGCAGTTATAATCATACAAAGTGTAGGGGTCAAGATGAACCCTTTCGCTGCCAGAGCTTCAGAGCCTGAAGATTACACAAAACTTCCAAACATTATATATTTTTCTGAAAGCAGACACCCTAGAGCAGTGTTTCTGAACCTCTTTTCAGTCAAGGCACCCTTTAAAATTATGGATAGTCCTAAAGCAGCCTTTAAAATTATGGACAGTCTTGAGGCACCCTTTAAAATTATGGACAGTCTTGAAGTACCCTTTAATATTATGAACAGTCCCAAAGCACCCTTTAAAATTATGGACAGTCTTGAGGCACCCTTTAAATTTATGAACAGTCCCAAAGCAACCTTTAAAATTATGGACAGTCTTGAGGCACCCTTTAAAATTATGGACAGTCTTGAGGCACCCTTTAAAATTATGGACAGTCCCGAGACACCCTTTAAAATTATGGACAGTCTTGAGGCACCCCATTCTAAAATGTGAAAAACTATTCTAATAGTTTTATAGAACGCAGCAACATCCACACATGTAGGACCCCCATCATTAGAGGTGATTTATTCTTCCAAAGCAAATACACTTTTGCACACTGGTACTGAGTAGTATTCCATTGTTTCTCCTCTCCCTCAATTTTTCTCCATCACTGAGCTAGTGTGACCCTTGCACTGACAGAGAGGGGCATGGGAGGGTCAAACTATGATGCTGTGCAGGCAGCTGACATCCTCCTTATCAACTGATGATGTCATTGGTAGTTAGGACACTGGTGGCCAGAAGGTCGTAATGGTGCACAATGAAAACCTATGGCTTTGTTGTAACTAAAAGGCAGGCTTGTTCCCCACACTGGTTTGTATACAATTTTAGGAAATTTTTTGACATTTTGCCAAAGCACCCCTGAAGAAACCTTAAGGCACCCCTGGGTGCCTGAGCACCCTGGTTGAGAAAGACTGCCCTAGAGAATAAAATAGTGGTAGCTCCAATTTTTTTATGTCACACGATATTACAGCCAAGGTCGAGGAAACACAAAATGTCAGTAAAAAACACACTAATGTGAATTTTAGGGAAAGCATACACTATAAATTACCATTAAAACATAAAAGACAAGGTTTCACCGAGTAAATAGATACCCAGCATACCAAACCTTAAATTTGTGCGCCTATGACATAGCGACAAACTTCAGTACCCTATATTTTCTACAGGCAACACTTCAAAAGACTCAATAGGTCATGAGTTTAGCGTTACAGCGGAAGTCTTGTGCTAGTATTGCTCTTACTCCGGCATGCGTGGTGATATGTAACATGTGTATCGCAATCGACATTTTCACGCGTAGGTGCCCCATTGTGTGCGTTTACATTCGTGCATATATGTGGGGGTGGAGGGGCCTCAAAAAATTTTTTGGGGGGGATGTTATGTGCAACTTAATTTTTTTGCAGTAAAAATTTTTTACTTAATTTTTGTTTTCATCACATAGGGGACACAATTTTAGGTGACAGATTCTATTTATTGAAACATGCAGGGTCTAAGAGACCCCACATGTCTCCTCTGGGCTCCACTGGATGTATTGCATTGCAAATCACATTGCAATACATCTCTATCCCTGTTATTCTATCCAGGGAAAGTGACAGCCATGACACAGAAATGTCGTCATGCACATCACCTTCTGGGTCACAGAAAAAAAGGGGAGAAGAACAGACATTCATCCATTCTCCTTTCTCCCCTCCACAAGTCGGCATTCGCCATGGCGCTCCCGGGCCTGTAGATGGGCAAACGGGGCCTGGATGCATGGCAGGAGTGGGGAGTACCGGTACTGGGGGCTGTGGAAGCAATCAGGCGTCAGTACAGCCACCCAACTGCTTCCACCTGACAGGTAGAAGTCTGCCTGTCAGTTTTACACACAATCTCAGTGGCTGCAGCCACTGGATTGTGTAAAAAAAACCCCTGCTGTCAGGTCCGTATGATGTACAGACCTGGCAGAGAAAAGGTAAAAGTAATATACAGAGTGTAAGTGTAAGAAGTGTGTAAGGTACAGAGTGTAGGGGTTAGGAATAAAAGTAACGTACAGAATGTGGTGCTCAGGAGCTTGTTATAGGGGTCATAACTGTGTAATGTAGAGAGTATGAGCTCAGGAGTGTGTTATGTACAGTGTGTAGGGGTCAGAAGTGTGTAATGTAGAGAGTGTGGGGCTTAAGAGTATGTTACGTACAGTGCATAGGGGTCAGGAGTGTGTAATATACAGAGTGTAGGGCTCAGGAGTGTGTTATGTACAGAGTGTAGGAATCAGGATTGTGTAATGTACAGAGTGTAGGCATCAGGAGTGTGTTATGTACAGTGTGTAGGGGTCAGGAGTAAAAGTAAACATACATACACACACACATGCACATAAACATACATACACACTTGCCTCCACTTTTAACCCAGCCTTTCTTAATCAGGATGCTGTGGCACCCCTGATGAAACCAGATGACACCCCAAGGTGCTGTAATACCCCAGTTGTGAAAGGCTGATAAATAATTAGAGAATAGTAGGTCACATGCATAAGGGTTCGAAGGAGGAACTATAGTATTTATAGCAACCAATTGACCTTTTCAGTCTCTGAAGACTGCTTTTACAGTTCATTAATTCATATAAATAGTCCTAATTATTGCTGCTGCAGATCTAATAGATGAAGATGTGGCAAAAAAAATCAAATGAACCATAATGAGCTGGTTCTTCCTTCTCACTGGACTTTCAGTTCCCCTACTTTTGTCCCAGCACCACAGATATCCCTGCAGTTCCTGTAGTTTTTTTTTTTTTTTTTAATTAATTTTTTCTGTAACTTCACCAAATTGTTTATATAGGAAAGTAGCAAAAGTAGTAAATCCACACACTGCTAATCCTTTGCGTACAAAAATGGTATTCTGTCAGCAGGGGCAGAACACTCCATCCACCTCCTCCCTCTGATGTGCTTCATCTGCTACTGGAGCTTAATCACAGAGCTCTATGATTTAGCTCCCATCCCAAGTGAAACATGTAAGTGGTAGGAGATGGGTGGAGTGTCTCTTTCCCTGCTGGCAGAATAGAGATTTTTGGGTTGATTTACTAAAAGCAAATAGACTGTGCACTTTGCAAGTGCAGTTGCTCCAGTGCTTAGTAAATGAGGTGAAGCTTCCCATTACAAGGACTACCCAATCTATTGGGTCTGTTTACCTCTAGTAAATCAACCTATTAGTATGCAAGGAATCAGCACTGTGCTGCATCAGTACTTTCCTATGGAGCTACAACATGAACTGACCAATTCTGATCACTGTCAGAAGTACCCTTAGTCCACTCACCTAACATTTTACTGACATAAGGCTCAATGTCCACATCCTGAAGGTGTTGGTGGGTGTGCGCATGGTACAGCCTGAGCGTAGAATCTAACCGAATCGATACCCACACTCCATCCCCGATCCAGGCCAGCTGTCGCACCTGGCTCTCCCTTCGAGGATGAGCATCAAATGACTTCTGAAAACCAGAGAAGAAAATGACTAATTAACAAATAGTTATTAATCCTGTATTGAAAAAAGTATTCTATATAAGTACATTTAGGTTTTCAAAAACTAGGGTAGGAGCTGCTTAACTATCGTCTGCATAAACTGTCATACAGTAAAATAGCTATAAGACCCTATAAGACCATGTTGACCTCTAAACTTCATTATAAAGGAAACCCCATCTCAGTCTGTATATACTGTTCAGGTAATACATCCAAATTAGAAGGAAAATTCTGTGACTGCCCAACCCATTATACCACCATGATGTCATAGGTTCTTTGGTTGTCTTCTCTGGTTACCTCTATCTGCATGGTTTTGGGCTGAATCACGTGTATTTTGTTCTTGTATCCACACCAGACTCTGTCATATACTACAGCCATACACCGGATGGAATGATGTGTGTGTCCGAGGTCCATCAAGTGGTAATTACTGAGGTCCCACTGTCGGTCTTTTCAGAATAAAAGGGAAAATTTAATTATACTCAAGCAGCAATGTTATTAGGTTAACAAGTGAAAACACAATAAAAGAGAACTGCTATTACCTTCTCCCCTGTGGAAAATGGCCAATGTCCCATCTGCTAGGGCCACCAAAACCCGTCCTTTGACATGCCTGAGAAAAGAAAGATTGAGAGATAAATAAATCTATTCAGAATTTTGTCATTAGCTATTTCTAATGTCAAAACTACATCACCTGATGCAAGCCCCATGGAATTTACTTTTAAAACAGGGCCAAGTGTTAGTGATGCCAGTACTCACATCCAGCAACCTAATTCTATGTGTTTTTTCCTCTTTCAGAATGAAGTATATCATCAAATTTGTTGCTAGGAATAGCATAACTATCTGCCTTTTCAGTAGTTCTAATTGTGTTATGTGGGCTAATGAAAAAAACATTTCCTTTTTTCCACATTATTTGAAACATGTACATGTGGGAATAGCAAGCTTGCACAATGTGCTGTAATCCATACCAGCACCATCCAGTCTCATTTAGTTGGCAAATGCCATGATGTCAGTGGGATTCAAGGGGACAAAGGGATCAATTTGAAAACTTAGAACTGAAACTCAGCACTGTTATAACCTATGGAATACTTAAAATCAGGCTCATTTAGGATCTCTGCTGCCCAACCTGCGGCACTAGCACCTATTGTGAGTCCCTTAGGTCCCCTGCAGACACTAAACTTTGTTTTCCTTCCCTAGATGCTTACTCAAGCAATTGTTCTGAAAATTTCAATTTTTCAGAAGAAATACAAGGAAACAAAATATTTTTCTCATGGCTTTAAATTTTACATCTCTAAGCACAAGTAATTTTTGGGGGGCTGTGGGGAGCCTAAATATAAAAGCATTGATTTGGAAAAGGGGCTGCAATAGTAGCAATCTCTAGCAGTCTTTGTAATGTGTCTCAGGTCTATGACCATCTACTGAGAAATGTACTTAGTCTCTAACAACTCCTATAGCATGTCTGTAGTCTCTTACCATTTCTTCTTGTATGTCTCCAGGCTCTGGCAGCTTTTGTAGCATTGCATTCACTGAATAATATGTGTGGCGCTCGGCAATATCTAGGGCCGCTTGAGGCCCCTATATAAGATAAATAGACCACCTCTGCCTTAAATTGTACAATGTAATACTTGAAGGAATGATATGTTGAGCGATGGATCAATTTGTACATCATGGGTAAGCACCAATACCCTACTGATAATAAAATGACTAGTATGTACTTACACAAGACTCAATACTGAATCCTTTAATTTTATAGAATGCAGACACTTCTTCCAGTTGGAAACTGCTGAGTGAACATATAGCCTGAAATGTGAAAGGGATTGTTCATTAGTGGTTTATACATTATATGCTCTTAACAAGTGTTAAACATTTATATCAGGACATGCTTGAGGATTATTAAGAAAACAGCACAAAAAACTGTGGTATGCCGCAAACCAGTTTTCCCTTATTACTCATGTAGGAAGTCAGAACAATGATAGATGATTGG